ATGGAAGCTAGATACTCCACAAACCCTTTTGTAGGTTATGTGAGCCCTTCTGTTGTAGTTGATTCTTGATTTCTGTTGGCCCATTCATGATTGGGGTTGGCTGACTATGAAGATTTACTCCAACCACAGTGTACAAGCTGCTGTGCAGGGGCCACCCTCACCTCACAAAGCAACATTTGCCCCAGCAGGATCTCATGTCCGCTGAGATCTCCCTTTGGATATGCTGCTTGTGGAGCATATCCATTAGGTTGTGCTATGATGTGGTCTGAATCCCACTACTGGGTGTGTTATTTCTGGGTCCTCTTGTTAGGAACTTTGGTGCAAGTCAATGTCAGAGGCTGCCTGTGGCTGGTCCTGGGCTACCTGTTTGCGGCTGCAAAGCAACCCACAGTCTGGCTGCCTCTGCCGGGCCTAGGTATGTATGAGTGACTAAGCTGTGCAACAAGTCTGGTTTCCCCCAGCACCAGGCCCTGGGGTAGGTCAGCAGAAGGCCCAAGGCACCCCAAGATCTGGCTCTGCTTGTTGGCTGCCTGTTGGGCTCAGTACCTGAAAGAGCCTTTGGTGATACACGCGTGAGGTAGGTCCTCAGTGAGTCACCAGACCAGGGTGAGTAGTGGTCACCAGATTGAAAGAGATTCATACCCAGTGCCATTGCTGGGACTGAGGACACTCAGTAAAAGTCTCAGGGTACACCAAGGCCAGCCACCACCCTTGGGTGACCATGGACTTTTGTGGTAGGTCGGGGTCTTGAAGTTTTTAGGGTGATGCCAGCAGAGTTCATCAGGCCCAAAGAAACCAAGCTTTGGCTGTGTGAAGGGTGGGCTCTGCACAGGAATGGTGCTGGATTGTTTTCTTAATTTCTTGTTCTGACAGTTCATTATTAGTGTATAAAATGCAACTCATTTTTATATATTGATTTTATATCCTGAAACTTTACTGACTGGTAAATGGAGATGGTTTAATATTTGAAAATCTGTGTATTCACTACATTATCACAATTAAGGAGGAAAACCATTTCCATAGATAATTTCACCATAGCCATCTCAGAAGGTAAAGAGCAAGGATATGTTTCTTCATAACAGTACATTAATCACACTTAAGAAATATGACAATAATATAAAGCTATTATCTAATGAATAGTGAATATTCAGATTTCTCTAATTATTCCAATAATGTCCTAGCTGTTTTTGTTTTGTTTTTTAATCTGAGTTCTAATTCAGGGCCAAACATAGCATTTAATTGTCATGTTTTATTAGGTATGTAACAAAAACATAAAAGTGTAAACTTAATTATTGTCAGGTCAGTACCCCTTTCACCCCCATTCTTGAAAGAGAATAGACTCTTGCCCGGCCGGGCATGGCTCAGCAGTTGAGCATCGACCTGGGATCCAGGCGATCAGGGTTCAATTCCCGGTCAGGGCACATGCCCGGGTTGCGGGCTCGATCAATGACTCTCTCATCATTGATGTTTCTGTCTCTCTCTCCCTCTCCTTTCGTCTCTCTGAAATCAATAAAGATATATTTAAAAAATAAAAATAAAAATAAGGAAAAAAAAGAGAATAGACTCTTGCCACAGCCTCCAGAAGTTTTCACCTGCTGCCTCAGATACAGCTCCCTACCTCTCACCTAAGCATAGCTATTATCTCAAGTTTTATGATACTTTATTTCCTTTAGAGTTTAGCTTTACCTGTTTTTCAGTGTGGTTTTAATAGTAAAATTTTAATGATTACTATTTAATTGTATGATAATATTTTAATACTAGTGTTTTAACATGATTAGAGTCGATAGTCTGTTTCCCTATCATCCTTTCTCTGTTTTTCACGTTTGTGTCCTTTCAGTGCATCTCATCAGGAGGCACGTGATGTCTGTCTGATCAACTTCTGAGCCTTTAATTACGGTTTTTGCCAGGCTTTTCTACTTGGTAAAGTTACTTTTTTTCTTTCTGTAATAGGTACTTTGAAACTGTTAATATCCTGTCTCTCATGAAACTTTGATCCTACTTTTAGCAACCATTGATTCTCACCCCAAAGCATTTTTACTGTAACGTTAGCCAGACGCTGAGTTTTCTGGCTGTCATTCCATCTGTAGTTCAAAGTTGGAATTCTAGAAGGAGTGCTTCCTGTTCTCCTTTATTTGTGTATTTATTTCAGTATTTCATGTATTTTTATTTTATTTTGTATATTATGTATTGTTACTATCAGTTTCATGCATGAATTGTTCCAATTTAGACCAAAGGCAGTGCCTTCAACTAGGGTCTCAGACCTTTTGATATTCCTCTGGCCCGCCCCTTTCATGTTCCGACTTATCTTGTCTTTTCCTAACCCCAGTTCTGGAGCTAGCCATTTCTCTGCAGGAACCACCTCCTTTTAGTGGATAATGGTTTTCAAAAGCAGCGGTCTTGGTGCTAAGTGTGTTTTTTCTTTATATTTATTCTGTTTGGGGTTTGTAGAGCTCTTTGAATTCACAGCTCAATGTTTTCTGTGAGTTTTGGAAAATTATTGGTCATTCTCTCTTTCAGCATTGCCTCTGCATTTTGCCTCCAGTTAGTCATATATTAGACCTTTTTACTGTGGTCTCTCATACTTATTTTCATACTTTTTTCTTTCTGTGCTTTAATTCGTTAACCTATAATCCTTTCTTTTGCTGTGTTTAACCTTGTATTAAACCATCTTTTAAAATTCTTAAGATCAGTTATTAAGATTTTTAGTTCTAGGGTTTCCATTAGACTCTTTTTAAAAATAATTTTGTGCCCAGGCCAGTGTTGCTCAGTGGTTAGTGTCAGCCCATGAACCGAAGGGTTGCAGGTTTGATTCCTGGTCAGGACATGTACCTGGGTTGCAGAGTCGATCCCTGGCCCCAGTGGGAGTGTGTGCGGGAGGCAACCAGTCAGTGTGTGTCTCTTACATTAGTGTTTCCCTCTTTCTCTCCTCCCTCC